TAAGAATTTTCATGTCGCAGGTCAAAGAGCAAACTAGGCAAATGTTCAAAAAAATAATAATAGGAAATAGAAATTGTCTGTGGTTTTAGGAAACTTCTTGCACTAATGACCCCACYAGACCTTGCCTTGCTCTGACCACAGCTTCACACAGCCTCCTGTGAGCACAGGAGCTTCCAAAGACCTTCCTGTGGGTCTCCTCCCATGGCTCTTCACTTACATTATGTCCTGGGAAACACCGTAGCCGCTCTTACAAGGACACAAACTTAATGGCTCTCTCTCATGATAACAGAGGTCACAATTGAAGTGCTTTTTGTCTATAAAAATAAGCAGAAATGAGAGAAAACTGCAAATGACGTTAGAGGTATAGCATGAGCAACACCGCAGACCAAGATTCAACAAGATGAAATCTGTGTCCAGTACGTGACTTTGCTAGATTATTTCTTCTCTTGAGCCTACTCTTTCCTCTGCTTTGCATTTGCCCACTGTGAATATTTATTTTCTTATTTTTATTTTCCTTTGCATGACTGCTGCCTTTCAAAAAAAAGGGAAAAAATTATCCCTACAGGGAAGTAAGCYATCAGGCAGGAAGACTGAAGGCTCTCTGGCAGCCCTAGCACTTAGCATAAAACAATATGAATATCTGAAAGTTAGCTGTCATTTCTGAGATTTTTAACTGTGATCCTGCTGCACAGAAGGTGCTATTTCAGTCGATATAGTTCATATGTCACTGTRGTGCTCATCTACTCAAAAGAGTAGAAAAAAGGAGCAAAAAAGAGACCTTCCCAGTCTCAAGAAACATGGCAGAGAGTGAAATTTCAGCCAAATGACCCACCAAAACACATGGAATGAGCAGGATGGCAAACCCTGCAGGGAGCTAACTGGCTGAACTATCCCACCAGCAGGGCTAATAAATTAAATTTTATTCCAGTGTTTAGGTACCTAATGGGCGATTCCTCAAGGCAGCGGCGCGCAGCAGCAGTCGCTGTGTGATCTGTTCTCTAGCAGCCCACCACACCGCGACGCACCTAGCGCACAGAGGGGCAGTGAGCGACTGGGGGACAAAAAGCCGTGTCCGAAGGGGCAGCAGAGCCCGGGGCAGCAGAACAGAGCGCAGGGCACGGCCGAGCRCGCAGGGCCGCGGCACTGCAGTGACCCTCGTCATCCTCACCCTGTGGTGAGGACAGTGTGGATGCTGAAGGGGGAAAACAGCCTGAGAAACGAGCCCAGTACATGGCCAAAGTTTAAGGGCATTTTGAGCGCTGTTCCTATGCTGCCCATGAGGTCYAGATTCCTCCAAGATTTAGCAGCCTCTGGCCTTTGCAACCGGCTTGTGCTGCTTCCCAATGACTCCTATAGCAGGGTTTCCAAGAAACGTAAAGAAAAAATAGCCCTCTCTCTGGCTGTCATTGAAGGTGTCACATGTGACTGTCTTTATATTTTATAATACATCAGCCAGGTGCTATTCCTCCCARAAAAAACAAATCTTCCGGGTGTTCAGAATTGTAATAGCTTATATAACCATAGGGTTTATTCTTTTGCTTTTAATAGCAGTAAGACAGTGAAAAGAGGAGAAAATGTAAGTGCTGTGCAAGACCTGCAGCCACTGTATGCCATGCCGTTTCACACAGCCAGCTCGCTAAGGAAACAATGCTCCTCCAGCTGAGCGCAGGAGCCATTTTCACCTCTCCAGTCCCTCTTGAGAAGCCACTAAAGGCAAATCTGTGATGCACTTTTTAATGACTTTGGCATAACTAAAAGAAAACTTCATTCTATAAAAGGAAGCCTGGTTTCTCTCCTTATTTGGCACTGAAATATGTACYGATTGTGAACATGGCTTGAATACAAAGTACGTTGTAATTGAGCTGTATAAGCAGTTTGGTTTTAAGATGGCACTCCGTTGTACAATCCAAAGACTATGACGACTTAAAATTCTGAGTATGCTGTTGTTTACAGAGCAGACTTAGACGGYTGAAAAGCATATTGCTTAGGAGCCATTATTCATTCAGGAATTAAAATAAAAGTAGCTGGAAGGGTTATACATGGCTTTTGTTGTTGTTGTTTTTTTAAACGTTGAACTGCTGCATTATTAATTTGCCATATTTTGAGAAAACACCTTGAAAAAAAGAAAAGATTATTGTACATGGGGCAGGCAGGCCCTCCCCCCATCACGGCCTCAGCTAGTCCTTTTAAATAAAAAAATCCTGTTCAAGGCTGTTTCGAGATAGCATGTCCCAAGGGAAGGTTTTCTCCTATTGCCCAATAACATGGGGATTGGCCTGGCTTCTAAATCCTTTCCAAAATCCTCCCCCCCCGCCCCCCTCCTGGTTTTAATGCCAAATCTTGAGGCTACTCCTTTTTTTTCTAGACCTTACTAACCTACCTCTTGGTCATACCACTCTCCCCACRGAATACTTGTTTTCCATGGGGCCGTGACAAAGTGAACAGTAAAATCTGAAAAGCAATTGGACAAATTAATAGAGGAAAAAATCATCCCTGACTCTTACTGAGAAAGCAACAGTGTTTGGAGGTGGAAACACCCCAGTTGAAGATTGCAGAAAGCAGGAAAAATATTGTAAGGATGCACTGCTATCTCTCCGCCTGTTCTTTCTCCTCTGTGGGCATTTGCTGTAGGCAACAAGGAAATACCTTGGTCTTACCTCCTCTGGCCATTCTTACAGAAGGTATTCCAGCCCGAAGGATTTCATAATGCATAACTGCAGGGCTAAAGCCTCCTGCTTTCATGGAGCATTTCCCTTTAAAGAAGCAGGGACTGCTCTGTTGCCCAAAATGTAATTGGGTGGGATAAAAAGGTACAGCTGGTGTAGAAACTACACCCAGCTGGGCTACATGGGCTTGGCCACTGCACTGAGAGGCAAGAAAAGACACCAATACTTCCTCTGCCAAAGACCTTCTGTACATGGCTGTACCTGGAACACTGCTCACTGGCACGATCACAACATAACATGTTGGAAATAAAAGGAAAGTCAATTAGAAAATACGTGTCAGTGGCACAGCTGAAGGTCCCTTAACTAGTTTAGACAAGACTGAATTACTGAAAAGAGAACTGAAAGATCAAGCTCCAGATCTGCATATTATCATTTCCCTCTCAACATGGGAGTGTAGAGCTGGAAACTCAGTCCTTCTATAAACAGAAGTCCAGCTGCTTTGTGAACAGTACTTGACACCAATGGAATTAATTTTTAACAAATGCTAATATTACATGGAGGCTTCTGCAAGGGCCGTTTTTCTGCCTGCCTCCCCAGCTGTGTGGGATGGCGTGAGGAGCAGAGCTGCGGGTCTCCCCAGATGGCACCGAGCGGGGGACCTTATGGGACCCAAAGACTGCACGACCACAGCAGCGACTGCAAATCTTCTTTTGTGTCCTATATTGTGTTCCCCAGTGCACAGAGAATCTATATTAGAAATTCACAAGAAAAGTAATATCTGCCTATCCATTATAACAGGCTAAAAAAGGTATTTAATTGCTTATACATTCAAAGGGAACTTCTGAACTAATAAACGGGTTGTTATCCCTCTGAGGAGAGGACAAGTGGCACATTAGCTCATTTTATCATTAAATTAATACTAGATTAGTGAGTTTAATTGATCTAAATTGTTTTAAGCCAGCTGAGGTTGGCACGTTAGAACTTGCTTGATGCAGACATGTCATAATTCATTAGTTATTTTCTTTAGCCAGATGGGAGATTTGAGAAGAATCAGGTGCACCAGAAGAGCAAAAAGGCTTAAGAGACCTACTGCTTTTCCCTGGCCATTTATCATTCCTTTTCTAGTTTAACTCTGCTGTCAATCACCATTGCCAGCTAGAGCTGAGCCTGCCAATCACTCTGACACTCTGCATTTCTCTAGTGAAAACTGTTGACTCTGATTTAAATAGTATTCCTCACTGTTATTTTTTACTACTTGCTATAGAATTTCYGCACGCTCAAGATGAATGCTCGTGAGGACTTCATTTGAACAGGAGTATGACAGAATTGATAAATTTGGTGACAAGTGCACAAGGAGCTGAGAAGTAAGAGAGACCTATGCACTATTGTACCTACCCGCTGGGCTGAACAAGCAACTTGACGTGTCACCATCTCCATACCATTTATCTGAACTCAGYCCTGCAGCATGCTTGACATTTTACAGGATAAAGAGATGACCTGGTGACTACGGACAGAAGAGAACATCTGTAGGTGCCAAGCCACCGGGATACGGCGCATGGAGCTGTTGAAACTGCTGCAGGACTAGTGTGACTACAAAACCATTACTAAAAAGAGGCCTATTGGAGCCAGATGGGAAAGATCTGCCAGCTACAGAGGCTGTTTGAAGCTCAGTAAACATGACATTTGGTCACTGTTGCTTCCTCCAAGCACAACGCTGGAAGCACAAGCAATATGTTGTGGGAAACGGAGTGCTTCAGCCTACTGCCACGCAACAAGGCTGATGGTGATCTGATGAGGCCTGCAAACCTGCAGCACCGCAACCCTCCAGCCAGCACGGGATCAGCCCCCTCAGGCTGCAGAGGCACTTTGCTTGCTCGGAGCTTTGGCGATGCCTCTGGCGAGCCCARGTCTGGGGCTCTGGGGTGGTGGCACTAACTAGGGCACGCGTGTCTCGTGGCAAGGGGCAGTCTCTGTTGCAGGTTGCCGGACTCAAAACAGGCTTAAGAAGCTTTAGTCACTGATAGAGCACCCTCCTACATGCTCACCACTTCCCCTTGTACAGCTGCTGAAACAGCAGTCGAGGTTAGGCCCTGAATACAGACTAAGTATCAGTCTATTTAACATCTCCCTACCCAGAACAGCACCAACAGCTCATGGACTGCCAGGAGAAGCCATCCTCAATGGAAAAACAACTGTCCTCAAGAGGAYAGTTTCCTGGAGGGAAGAGGGTTTCCTGGAGCAGGGAGTCCTTCATCCCAGTAGACCAGAGAAATAGTCATTACATAAAACTCTTGGCATCACATTTAAATCAAGTTGAAGAAAGGGCTGTATTACCTTGCATTGTCCCTTCCGTGGGACTTCAGGAAGTTCATATCACGGTACCTGGACAGGAACGCTACTAGCTGGTCATTTGTCCTGCAAAAGAAACAACAAAAGATGTACAAATTATACTGTAAAAACTACTCTCTAATATAAATGCCTTTTTTTTTTTCCCCTCTCATTTGGGACCATTTGCAGACTCTGGAAAGGGAACAGTTTCTGGAAGAAAGTTCCAAACGCTGCAAAACTTTCCTCTCTCCCTCTACTCAGGAAAGCATATATAAAAAGCAGCACAGCTTTATTATATCTTAATGAATTTCACAGCAAATCTTGGCAAACCTGTCAAAAATTGTAACTGAGTATGCATTAAGTAGTACTGCTCACCACTTTTTAAGTATCAAAATCGAGCTGCGAGATGACTAGATTTGAAATCCTTCTTTACATGTTTTGCTAGATCTTTCCTAGGGAACTCATTCAAGTAGCTGCTGGCATTTTCTTTCTCATAGTCCTTGTTATAGAGAAAAGGCCAAGGTTGGAATGCATAAAGCGAGAGAATTTGGATGTCAAAACCCCAATAAAATTAGGAGGACCACAGGAATTTAGAAGGCTTATTCCAATTAATGATTGGCACTTTGACACCAGCATTTTCAAAATTTCAGTTGGCACGTCCAGGAATGTATTCATGCTCGACAGTTTGAGTGGTCTGTTATTTCTTTAACAATGGGGCAAAAATGGTCCATAGGTCAGCACATTTAGGAAAACCGAATAAATCATATCAAACAGTAGATGACTGTCTATCTACCGACTTGCACTCAAACCCACAAGATTAAAATAGAGATAACAGCATTTGAGCAAGGCCTACTCTGGGTTTGATAGTAGAAAAATGAAAGATAAAACAGCTGTCAATAGTGCGGTATCTTGAAAACACTTCATGCCACAAGCCACAGAAAGGCAAGTTAAACAAGACTCTCCTACAAAATGCTTTAAGCAGCGGGGTCAGCTGCAACAACTCCCGAACGGGCTCAGACTAGTAACATATCTTTGTATCTCATAATAACAAATTCTGCTGTCATCACAGGTAGCATTTCATAATTGAACCGATGAATACAGAACAAGTTAACCATTGATTTTGTCTGGCCCAAATATCAGCCTATCAGTCAATGTGAATGACTAGTTCTGCAGGAGCTTGAGACCCTCCTTCTATGCTCACTCATGGGAGCTTTAATACCTCCCAGGGTCAGACTCYGCATCGCAATTTGGCAGCCTCAGAAAACTGCTTTCTGTAGACTAAGCTGTGCACATTTTCACATTTGCTGCTCCAGTGAGTCTCCATCTTTCTGGGATGAATAGGCATTTAGTGAATTTACTTAGCAATGCTTCCACATGAAATAGTTTCAATGGCCGACATCTTCGGGCGAGTTTCTAGGCAAAGGCTGGCACACAAAGATGATCTTTAAAAATATAATAAAGTTTAGAAGTGCCGGAGCTTTAATTTTCTTACAGAACAAAAATCAATGGGACAAAGAAAGAATCCACACCACTCACCAAGCCATCATCACTTAGAGACTGCTCACCAACCCATATTTCCGTATTCACTACTGCTTTACCAAATACACCTGGACTCAGGGTGGCCAGACAAGCTTTTATCATCTCTTTTTTTAAGATTACCGCTTATAAATGCCCATGTGACTTTTAGCTCTGAACATAATCAATAACTGACATTTTCTGACTTACTGAAAAACTTGGTGGCATCTCGGGTCTGCTTTTAATAAGTTATTAAAAAAACGTACACAGAAATTATTCTTCATTAATCAAGTATGCTTCTTTTCAGGTTTTGACAACATGAAAATAAAACATGCATTTCCATTTGGGAATCCTTCTAGATTTGACATTTAGATGCATGGGTCAAGCAATTCTGTGCTCACCACAGGAGCACACAGAATTTCAATTAAGCTTTCACTCAACCCATTTGTTCTGGCCTTGCTATCCTGAGGATGCTGAGCCCTACCTCCAAATCATTCCACGGCACGATATTAAAATCAAAGGCGTTCGACATGCYGTCAGTGCTAATGCAGCTGCTCTAGCCCTCCTCACCTCTCAGAAAGCTTTGCCATTAAGGCAAGTATTGGCTTGCTGTTCCAGGCCCAGACACTACCCCACTTCTGGGCCAGGACCATCTCCCGCACYAGCGTGACGCCCTTGGCTCTTGTTACTCATGAGGTCCTGACATGCTCTGCAAAGTAGCCTAAAAGCCAGGCCTCATTTTTCCCCCAGTAAAGCTGAAGGAGGTTGAGGTTTCCTGCTGAAGACATCACGGGGAGTAACGCTGACTCCATGCTGCCAAATTAAATTCTACTCTAGCTCCACAGGTTTCAGGGAAAACTCACGAAGTAGAAATTTGGCATCATTTCCCTCCTAGAAATAAAATAAAAAAATAATGGAGATAGCTTGTGCAGTTCATGCTATTTGTTAAAGCACAGTAATATCTACATCACATTCCTATCAGTTTCCCTGGTGCAGCACAGCATGAATTAGATCTTGGGAAAAATCTTTCCATAGTTGGTGTGTGAGGCTGAGGATGATAAATAAGTTCACACAGCCCCGGTTTCCTCCCCTTTTTTCAGGGAACCAGCTCAGGATAAGGCATGAGGACCAGGATGAGCCATGTGAGGGCCTGTGCTGCAGCGGTGCAAAYGGAAACAGCAGATGTGCCCATTTGCAGGAATGCTATGTTCGTCTGGGAAAGGAAAACTCATGCTCCAGAGAATTTGAAGTGTAGAGAAAGGAAAACATGAAGATAGGGGCTGGTAAGAGAGCAGCTCCAGGGCCTTGCAGACGTGCCTCGAGGGCTGCTGGTCACGCACCACGTGGCACCAGCCAACCTGGGAACGAGGTGGAGCTGCAGGGCCTGGGCTTGGCTGAGGGCGAGAGCCAAGCCACGGGTTAAGGAGGGGGGAAAGAGAAAGCTGAGGCCTGCAGGAAAGGGAGCGCTGAAGAGCTCGCCCAAGAAAAGCAAGGCCTGCTGGTGGATGCACTTGTGAGCCATCCTCATCCTGGCAGCAGGGTGCCCGGGCATGGAGCATGATCTGCACTGCAGGAATTCGACAGATGGTGTCCATAGTGTCTATAGGGGTGTCTCCCTGCCCAGGCATCCAATCCAAGCAGGCAGCGGAGATCCCACTGCTCCGCAGCCGTGAAAATGCACTAAGAAAACAAGGGCTTTGGAGATGCTGCGGAAAAGAAAGCAAGGAGCTGTTAGTTTTGGAAGACAGTGAAGGTTAATAGAACTGTCCCTGATTCAACAAAGAAATTTTATAAACAGGCAGTCTCAAGGATGTAAAGAATAGCAGTTGCGTCAATGGGAGCATGCCAAAACCTACACATCTGCTCAACAAATTGAGCAAGTGAGATCAAAGGCGCGGGAGCTTCCCTGGGTTGCATATATGTATGAAACCGTTTTAGCCTGACTTGGAGCAGGAATGGAAAGAACAAGCCGAGCCCAGTAACGCCTGGGCTGTGAGCGCACGTTCTGCACAGCCCTCTGAGCTCCCAGCAAGGGCGAGCTCCGCTGCGACGGGCAACGGGCAGCTCCTCTGCAGGCCCAGGCATCTGCCAGGTGAGCAGAGCTGCTGCCACTGCTTTGTCCCTGTCCCCTCCCCACCAGCATCGCRGGGGAGCAGCCAGAAGACGGCACCAGCACCACGCACCCAGCTCAGCTCCTAACCCCAGCGACCACAAATCCTAGAAATTTCCAAGCACCTCCCTGCCCCTCGGGGGGTTTGCACACGGGGTTTGCCCAGGCTGAACTGGGGCATTACAGCCTGATCGTCTCTTCACGCCAGTGCCAGTGGCTGCTCTACCTGTGACGCTGCGGTGCACGTGCGCTGCCCACGCACCRAGCAGCATCCAGCCATTAATACAAATCTCATAGTCATCTATTTATCTCAAGGCATATCAGGGAATTTTAATGTCATTCTGTCCACAGAGTATCCATCTATCTTGGATTAGAACCTGCTCTTGCTAACTTCAATTTTGTGAGTAATTATTGTTTTAAGCTCCCCGCTGTAGCATGAGAAATGACTAAGCTCTCGGGCACTGGTTGTGCCAGGGCCCTTCCCAAACAAGCAGCAGCCCTGGAGGGCAGTTCAGCACCTGCAGTCACTGCTGACACTTGTGGTACCCACATCTTACCTTGAACTTCCCATAACTTGCACAAACACAAACGAACACACGACCAGTGAGTGCATTCTCTGACCTATAGAGCTTGCAGCAGAAAGATAAGAGGAACATTTGAAAACGATTGAAGATCATAAGCAAGAGCATAACCCTCAACACACAGAAGCCCCTGTCTACTGAGGCTGTCCTTGGGCAGCAGAGGCACTGACTGAACTCGGGAACTGCTTGCTCAGAGCTGACTGCTGCACTGCCAGGGCTGATCCAAAACACAGTGAAAACTGATTTTAACTCATTTCCACTAGCCAGTGTCCCCCACCCAGGTAAAGGCATTTTCAAGGAGAAGGAGCGGAAAGCAGGATGCTTTTCACATGATCCCGTCTGCTTGACTCATCCACAGTATTTGCCAGAATGGGCTGGAGACCAAAGCACACAACAGAGCTAGAAGATCTGGCCTCTAATCTCAGTTTGAAACAACCACTTGCATTGTGAGTTTAGAGAAGTCTCTTATTGGAAAGATTTGAAAATTGTGTGCCCAAGATCAGCTTCTAAGCACAACTGTCAGAGGTTTTTTTCTTTTTAAGATGTTAACCATTCCYGACGCTTTTGTGAGACTCAGATCACACAGAAAATGAGCCGTTTTTACTTAGGCTCCTAAAAACAAACTTGAAAGCTTTACTTTTGGCAACCACCTGACTGTGCTGAGCTTGGCTATGTTAGAAGGAGCCTTGCAAGGCCCGAGCTGTTTGTGAGCAAGGCTATAAACACAGCATAGCAATTTGCACTGTGAAAACACCATCAAATACAATAACCTCAAAGCTGCTAACCAGTTTTCTCAAAAGCAGCTGTTGAGCACAAAAATCCATTACCAGGCAGCACACAGGGCAAGGCTGCTGTCACCTGCGACGCATGACGAAACCCAG